TTTTCCTACTATGTCTTATGTTTCTACAATGCCCACATCTTTTGTTTTCTCTAGACGTTTCTCGAATATCTATATCACAATGAATTTGAGTGGATTTGGGACGACTGGGCTCCCTCAATAAGGACGGATCTGGTACAATTGGAAGCCAATTCTGAACCTCATTAGGGTCTTTCTTATTACCTATGGGGGAAACTCAAATTCATTACCTTAAACACTTCTGAAAGTAGGTATACAGGATCCACAAAACGATTATAGTCTTAACGGGTATGCGAGCAAGCTGCTATGATATGAGAGCATGGACACTTAGAGATTGAAAAAACCCACAATCACACCATCTGTCTTGTAGATTAACTCTGAACGAGTAAGCTTGAATCCCTTGAAGAGTCGCGGGATCTTTGTGACACGAAACAATTCATGGGTTTTAGAGAAGCTTGTTACAGACATTCCATTTGATGCAGCAATTCTTTTTTTTTTTGTAGATTTGTAACTAATATAGGGTGATACACATGACCATTTTGTAACCAAGTTTGAGCTTGTCCCTCGAGCTTGGCAAAAAGCGCTCCCAAATGAAAATATGTTGTTTTTACCAAAGTCATTACTGGTAAATGACATGCCCCCTTTAAGGTCGAATTGATAGCCTCAACTAAGTTGGTCGTCATGTGTCCATATCAATACCAATATCATATGCATTTGTCCACATTTATTTATTGATGAGGCTGATGTAATTGTATCATTCCTCATTTTTTCCTCACAACTCTTGAAGCATAGACTCAAATGTTTGAGGTATTAGATAGTAACCTGAGCATTAAATGTAGAACTTACTAACTTTGTTTCCATAAAAAATGCAAATTATTGACAAATACAAAAATAGCATTTTGACATACTCATGCGCATAAGTAATTGGTGCTCATCATTCTTCTTGAATCTTCCATGATAGTTTGCAACAATGTGTCGGATCTAGTACCTATATTGGACATAGGGTGGTTGCCACATTAGACCCAAATAATCCATTGTTGCTTTGATCTCAGCTTTGCGATCTGAAATGACATAGATTTTTTCCCTCGTGATAACATGTAAGCGTAAGTTTCTGAGGAAAAAAGCCCAAGAATATGTATATTCTCCTTCAACAATGGCAAAAGAAATTGGACGTATGTTACGATTACTATCTTGGACAACTGTCAATAGTAAAATTTGCTTGTATTTTTCATACAAGAATGTCCTGTCGATTTGGACTACAGGCTTGCAGTATTTCACAGCATTAATGCACTGTGGGTAAGTCCAAAAAAACCGGTAGAATTGGCATCGACCGAGAAGCACTCGATCATTGTGGTATGCATGGCAAGTTTCGAAGTCGATAATTTTCCCAGGATTTAATCTGCGCACCACCCTAAACCAACTTGGTAGTTCGTTGTAAGATGCATCTCATTCACCGTGAAGTTTTTTAATGATATTCTATTTTTCCTTCCATGCTTTTATGTATGAGACGGTATACTCATATTGCGATTGTATAGCTAAAATCAGCACAACAATAACTATATGGGAACTTGCTTTTACCATGGGAATGATGGCTTGATAAATAATGTCGAAGTCCAAGTTGGGATTATCATGGTTAATCCCTCCAGCACAACATGCGTGAGGACTGTTGTATATCGTTAGTTCCCATATATTGTTTTTCCTCTTCCTCTTTGATACGCGAACCATCCAATTGCATCCTGTTGAGTTAATCGATTGACGGAATCGGCCAAGAGGGGGTGAATTGGCAATTAAAAAGTTGGTGGAAGCTTTTGTAGAAAATTGAAAGAAGTTGCACAATGATTTAGAGTGGTTCGACTTTCTCAACCAAAGTCTATGTCCACTATCTTAGATATCCACACTAAGGATTTTCCAACAAATTCACTAATTTGTTCTTTCTTTTAAGGCCAAAGAGATAACCTTACAACTCCCTCAAGAATATACCCCAATTCTTGAGAACACTCTTTCTCAAAGAGAAATACACACAAATTTGCAAACTTACAAGGAAAACCTCACAAGGTAGATTGTTTGCACAATTCTAGAACAAAGAAAGAACACTCAAGAAAGAATACAATTGAGTACAAGTAGTGTTCTTGAAAGCAAAATGAATATTGAATGAAAAATAGGCTTGAAGTGCTCAAACAATGAGTTTGATGCTTTCTCTTTGATTCTCACTTGATTCTTGTTTATTGTTATTTCTTGTTGTTGATCAATAGCTTCTAAGCTTGTTTAAATACTCCTTCAATTGATTCTGAACGTTGGGGATGATTAGTGGAGTCAATAGAGCCGTTTAAGTGTGAAAACAATTAATAAAATCAGTTGGGAGCGTCAGTGCATCGATGCATACCCAAGGTGCATCGGTGCATCAAGTGTAAAATTCAAATATTTTGACCGTTGGACCCTTAGTGCATCGATGCATAAAATGCATTCGATGTTTCAAAATAGCCTGAGTGCATCGATGCATGGCTGGTGCATCGATGCATCAACTGCATTTGATGTTTTCATAAAACCCTGAGTGCATCGATGCATAAAATGCATTCGATGTTTAATTTATTCCATGGTGCATTGATGCATGGATTGGTGCATCGGTGCATCACTTTGAAAATTTGATTTTAGGCTTGATTTTGGTTCAAAATACTTTGTGAAAATTGTTTCAAAAATATATTAAGTATAAAACACAATTTTACACATTTAGTAAGGTTTGAAATTGATCTTGAAAGACTTGGAGTAATAATTTGATATTCGAGTAATTAAATCGAATATTCTTAGAAAATCATTTCTAAAATCTTAAAATTCATTTATACTTATTTTGTTATATCAAAAAATCAAAATGTTTTCAACACATCCGTTATCACGTTGGACACAGTGGCAAACATACTTTTCGGTGGTAGAACGGTCGACTCTGGACTGAACAGAATTATAAATATTGTAATTCTTAATTGCCATCATCGCTTTTTCTTTGCATGAAAACTCCATTCCTTTATATAAATCACAATCATTGACTGATGAGTTAAATCCATAGTCACTGACATTAGGCATATCCACAAATTCTGGCTCGTACATTGCACCATAGTCAACTTCATACATGTATGCTGGAGGTTCAGTGTGTACCGTATTTTTTGACACTTTATCTACATCATTAACATCGAAGTCTATGTTGAACTGCAATGATTTTGGGTGAATGAATAGTCCAGTCTCAACATCATCCACACCTGGCTCACGAAGAGGTTCTTCTAGTGGAGATGAGGGTTCTTCCACACTGTCGACGTTTAGGTCGAACAAGCTGGTAGTTGCATGCCTTCCCCTTGAACTTGAACGTATCTCGACATTGAGGTTGAAGAAGCTCGCAGTTGAATGCCTCCCCTAGAGCTTGAAGGCATTGTGTCAAATGGGTACTGCACAGATTGTTGTGTCGAGGGCATCTTCATATTCAGGTCAAAGAAATTGCAAGATGAATGTCTTCCCCTTGAATTGGACGCGTTGTTGCTATACAGATTGTTTGTGGAGCCACCTCGGTACAGATCGTAAGAAGTTGTTGATGAATGTCTCCCCATTGAACTTGATGGGATGGCACCATGATGTGGATTTCTCATTAACAAGTTAAAATCATTACATATTGCTTGAGTTGGGTTGTCAACTTGATCAACTTGTTGAGCCAGCCCATAGTGGGAGCATAATGACATACCACGAACAATACGCACTTCAACAAATTTCGCATACATCTCTGTATCGGCGTCTGCAAAATGATTTTGAGAATCAACTATCATTGCAACATTGTCATTGTTCGAACGCTGTATAAGTTAACAGAAACACCGATGTTGGAAATCTGTACTGAAGTGAGGACAATCTTCTAGTACTTCCAACATAAACCTTCCTTGAAACCTTCGTTATCAGCTCCTCAAGAGTTATGTTTCTCTTGAAGGATATTTTGACATAATGATTTGATGTGAACACGACGTCGATTTTATCTTCCCGAATTTCTCCATCATAGTAAACAATAGCTGAAATACACGTCATTCTGAGAGTTTGAAAGATTGAAAATCTTATATCTGCAAAAAAACAATAATTGAAATACGCCTAATTAAATAAATAGTATATGAATTAAAATATAACCTAATAAAAATTTAAAAATTTACACAATAATTTAAATAATATAATTTTATATTGTTACCGTATCGGCAAAAATATCTCGATGTATGATCCTACTTTTTAATTTTACAACCACAAAAAATAATAGAAAATAATTAGTACAATAATATTTTTCAAATAATCATATATAAAATAAATATAATATATTAAACAAAAATTTACCTTACAACAAAAAATCGAAGGAATTGATGAAGCAAATATAGAAGCAATTAATGTGGTGATGTTTACGGTTGAAGGGGAGCTATTTATAGACGAGGGGAGAGTTTAAAGGCTGAGATATTCGAAACAAATAAGCGTGTGTCAGATACCCCAGAAAAGCGCAAATGACCATCCGCGCTTGTCATTATGTGGCGCCAGCTTGGACCATCCGCGCCTTTCATGACCTGGCGCCAGCTCGGATGAAACCCCGCAAAGATGCGGATCGTCATGTCAGAAAGGGTGTTAGATCGATAAAATTTGACAAAACGGTGCTTGACACTTAATTATTTCATGTCAGAGTGATTTTTGGGTAAAATCGTCTTTTTATACCGACTTCATTTTATGTCATTTGTTATGTCATAACACCATTAATTATTCAATGACAAAATGATTAAAACGTGAGTAATTTAACGAAATAGTGCATAAAATAAGAGTGGAAGTAAAACTAAGCGATGAAATTTATAATTTACCCTCTATATTTTTTTTTTCAAGCCGATGGGTGCTTCCCTGTCTGGATTATCACCAATTTTCAAACTTTGGGTTATTTATATGGTTTGATTGGTATTAAATTCATGAATTGTTATAAAATCAAGATTTTCAAATTAAAACAAACAATAATTCACATGTCTAACAAATACCTCTCGAAAAAAAAGAAGAATTTTTAGAACAAACAATAATAGAGCTGATGGAGATTTTTGTGATTCCAAAGTCTCGTTTTCTGTGTATTTTTTGGATCAGAATGTCGGGACTCGGGGATTGGGACAGAGCTCTTCTTCACAAGAATGTTTCTGTTCTTTTCGGACATGGTTAATTTGGCCGCAGGGTTCTCTTTCATCCCCATCTAATAACTGCAGAACCCCAAGTTAAACCTGCGCCGAAGCCTGCTGTTGCGATCGTATGCCCCGGCTTCACCTTTCCACTTCGAACGGCTTCGTCCAATGCCAAAGGAATCGATGCGGCGCTCGTATTACCATAGTTTGCCAGATTTGATATCACTTTTTCCTGCGGGAACTCTAATCGTGTTGCGACTGCATCGATGATCCTTTGGTTTGCCTGCATCAGTCGAATCCATCAGATAATCATTACAAGATGTTATGAGAATTATTGACTGCATTAATCGAAACACAACGACTACAACTGTTGCTGATGCGAAAGGGTAATGGCCGGAATCAATCGTACTCTAAATCATTTACCTGATGGAGCAATAACCAGTCCACATTGGATGAAACGAGACCAGCTTTCTCCAAGGCAGATTCAATTGATTGCGGTACACATCGAACGGCGAAGCGAAAGACTTCTTTGCCATTCATCTGTATGCAGGAATAAGAGAACCTTTTCGGGGGAAAATCTAAGACTGAACCATTAGAACCCAACAGTTCATTGGTTTTATCATCACTCATGGGGGCACCAAGATGTCTGCAATAGAGGTGGAAACTCAGTCGAATTACTCGAGGAATATATACTGTGTTTGTTCACTTCAATAACACGAGGGGCACATACCTTGCACCCTCGCCATCGCTATGCAAGTCGAAGCTTAATAAACCATCCTCCTCAGCATCACAGGCCTACAGAATCAATGGCAAATATATCATGTTTCGTTGCAAATATATTCTCTTTGTGTGTGTATACCGCTCCATACTCATATTATGTAAAACAATAGTGCTCGGCAACTCGGCAAGGGGTACGATGCACAAAGGAATCATACCCTGCAAAGATTGCAGATTACATGCATAATGCAACAATCTACAACCTTCAATTTAAGACGGTATCTCTATTTATAAGACGGTATCTCTATTTAAGAATGTACATACACAATTCAGATCATCTTCCTCATCAAGAAATCGTCATTGCATATTCCGGGAAAGAGTTAACTTACGAAAAAGAAGCTAGGCGTATTACCTGAACTAGTACAGCACCCGCGGCATCCCCAAAGAGGATACATGTCCCTCTATCAGTCCAATCAACAAATCGAGATATACCGTCAGCTCCAATCACCAAAACATTATGAAAGCCACCTCCTGTAATTCACAAATGTAGAAGTTCATATTTTTAACATGAAACAACATAAGTGAGACCTTCTTGCTGTGAAGTAAAAATTATTACCCCGAATGTGACAAGCAGCTGAGACCAGACCGAGCACAAATCCGCTACAAGCAGCCGTAATATCATAAGCTAAAGGAGATTTTTTGCAGCCAAGCTCTCTTTGGATCTGTTAAATTAAATAATGGGTGCCAAAAAAAAGTACAAAATTACTATTAAATAAAACATACACAAATGGCTTTTCAAATAGTAAAAATCATTTTCTTCCGATTCGAAAAGAAAATTAACCTGTGGAGCGGCACCAAAAATATCTTCTGGAGTAGATGTGCACACCAAGATTAGATCAAGATCATTAGGATCAAAATCTGCCATTTCAAGAGCTTTTCGTGCCGCTTCGACTGCTAGATCTTTCAAACTTTCCTTTCCTGTAAGAGCAATTGTCAATACAAATCTCCATTACAGGATCATGATGAAACATTAATGGAATGCAACACTTACGCCATACCGGATTCTACCTTTTGTAATGGAAAAGTCTAATATAAACTATTTTTTCCACCTCTTAAGAGATGATGAGCATAGTAGGCTGTACTTAAAACTAGCATATCTAGGGCCGAGACTTTTCAAGCAAAATACTCTTCCACGTGATTTCAGATAAAGATTTTTAATCACATCAATAAAATGTCAGCTAATCGGTCGACAAAAACTCTACACATAGCAATAGTATGGATTGTACTCTGACCTGAAATTACCCGTCGATTTCGTATTCCAGTGCGAACAGAGATCCATTCATCATTAGTATCAACTATCTTTGAAAGATCGTCGTTGGAAACCGAAAGAGATGGCACTGCTGACCCACAGCCGACTAACTTGCAGCCTTTACTCACAAGCCTGTGTTTTTCCGGAGTATAAACAGAAAAATAAATGATAAGTCAGGAGAATTGTTATCGTTTCAAATATGAAAGTAATAAACATACAAATAAAAACGAGGCTACATCTCAACTCGGAAGGCCAGACTAATATCAAGTGTCTCCTAGACTAATGTCAAATTTTCAATCACTAAGATGGCCTCCTAGAGACTAACTAACATGAAGTATCGGAAGTACGACCATATTAATCTCAAACATATCCATGAATGGATAATAAACAATACTATATCAGTATCAAGCTGGGTACAATTAACTTATTCTAGATATCTCCAGACCAACGCTCATTAAAGGTTTATTCGGCTCGGACTAGTACTACTTAAGAACATCATAAGCCAAACATCTTGCTCATACCAAGTCCAAGAGACCTCTGCATAGCTACCTTCGCATAAATTAGGCGAATCGTTCTAGGGAGGTAATCCAAGAGCAAGAAACACAGCTGAGGGAGCACTACAATCAAATGAGATCCTAATCTTTCAACCTTTCAAATTTAAGTTAATTGCTCTGTAAAAAAGCTACAAATGCAAATCCATGAAGCAATGAACCCCTTTCATCTAGCTAGTGCAAGAACCACTTCAGCCTACAACTTTACAACAACTACAACAAGCGAACTATGAAATCCCAAATATAATGAGAACAGAATTATCATCAACAAACGAAGCTCATTTAACACCATTTTTCACAAATATATTAAGCTGATAAACTATATTCGAAATCAAGCAAGAAATTATACAAAAAGAAGCAAAAAATTTTACTTGGGCACTCGAGATCCAGAAGGTGAAACATCCTTCTCTGCACCTTCAATGGCACTTGAGCACACTACCCTCCTAGAGAAGAAAAACCCAGATCGAGAAATGCCTATTGAAGGCTGAATCCTCGTCCTCAGCTTCGGTACCGAAGGCGTGAAAAACCCAGATGCATTGGCCATTTACACTCGTGAAACCGGCAGCAAGCAGAAATTTCGAATCTTTATTTTGCCCAAAAAAGGCAAGCAAGAATCTTTAGAATGGGAAACAAAATAAGAGAGAAGAAAAATGGAAGACAGAGAGAGAATCAATGAGTTTATGCAAAATCTTTGGAAGGGCCGAAGACGAAAAGAAAATTTAAGAAAAAATAAATAGTTGGGCGATTTTGCCAACCAAAATCTGAGGGAAATCCAATGAAAATTCTTAATTTTTTTCGCTATGAAGTATATATAATAACATGCAATGAGCTGATTTCGGTACCATTGTTGTTGTTTGATGCAGAATCCAATCCAAAGGAGTGGGATTTTTGGGGCAGGAAAACACGATGGGCACTTGAACAAAGATTGAACTTTTGGGCTGGTTTTCCTTTTGTTCGAGGATACGTGGCAAATACCCATTGGGTGATAGTTCGTGAATTACAAGGTTTGCGATTTGGTTTTTATTAGATTAATGGATGAACTAAGCTTTCTGATGGTAAAAATTTAAGACAAAATCGTCTCAGTGACCAAAAATGTCTTACAATATACGATTTTAACCAATTTTTTTTGGATTTGCCAAAATGACCAACAAAATCGCAACGCGAAATAAAAATCGCAACGCGAAATAAAAATCGCAACGCGATCCCCAGAATCGCAAATCAGTTTCCAAAATCGCAACGCGATTCTTGAAAATCGCAACGCGATTCTTGAAAATCGCAATGCGATAGTACAAATTCGCATTGCGATTTTCCAGAATCGCAACGAGAATATGAAAATCGCAACGCGAACACATAAATCGCAACGCGTATCCGTAAACCGCAACGTGTATCCGTAAATCGCAACGCGTATCCGTAAATCGCAATGCGTATCCGTAAATCGCAACGCGTATCCGTAAATCGCAATGCGTATCCGTAAATCGCAACGCGTATCCGTAAATCGCAACGACAATACGTAAAATCGCAACGCGTATCCGTAAATCGCAACGCGATTTTTAAAGCGCCATTATAATCGCTACGCGTATTTTATTTTCAAATTACAAAAACGAATATTAAGACAAAATCCCGTAATCGCAACTCATAACCTAAAACCTAAAATCACAACTCAGTCCCATCTCCATCTCTCACTCTCTACGGCGAAATCCGTCCCCATCTCCGAAGATTTCCGTCCCCATCTCCGGCGAAATCCCTCACAACCATTCACGGTCAGAAATCCCTCACAATATTCAGAAATGGAAAATCAACCTCCGAGGGTTAGTTTTTTTAATTATTTTTATTTTGAAAATTTTGCATTATTGTAGGTTTTTCATATTGAAACTGATGATAAGTTTACTGGATAGATTAACCATTTCACTTAGATTTCATTTCGCGTTGCGATTCTCTCGTTGCGATTTCATTTCGCGTTGCTATTCTCTCGTTGCGATTTTCAAGTTAGTATTTGTCTTTGTCTTTGTTCTGTCTTTTGGTTGAAGTAATGCAATCCATTCAAGTTTCAATTTGCAGAAGAGTCGCAACGAGAGAATCGCAACGCGAAACCAAAATCGCATTGCGATTTTTCATTTCGCGTTGCGATTCTCTCGTTGCGATTTTCATTTCTCTCGTTGCGATAGTCATTCTCTCGTTGCGATTTTCATTTCAACCAAAAGACAAAACAGTGTTGCAAATTTTAGTTTCAAGAATAAACTACTACTTTTTATGTTTATTGTTTTTGGTATATCTTCACAGTGTAGTTTTTGGTATATCTAACTTGGTATGTTTATTGTTTTTGTAGAAATTTTTTCGGCTTCATTGACATTAAGGAATAAAGTTAGCCTAGCCACTACAATTGCTTCGAAGCTTTCACCTGCACAAAGACAATTGTTTGAGGAAACCTGCTTCGGGCCATGGCTGAGAGTACAACATCCGGTGGAGATGCTAATTTGACCCATTTGTGGCTTCAGACCATGACATCAAATCTACCCGACAGTATACAACGTGGTGAGGAAGAGATATGGTTTCATTTTCCACCAGCGTATACTTGTTTTGGGCGGAAGGAGTTATGCTTAATCACTGGTCTACGATTCGGACACGATGATGTAGGCCGGTACACTCGTCATATCGCCCGCCCATCATGGTTATCCCGGGTTTTTCCGGATGAGTCAATGAAGAAGCCGAACCTACGTCGACGACCTGAAGAAATTGTTTAATAAGAAAGATGGTTTCACTCGGATGGATGACGTCGATGTTGTCCGAGTATGCCTTCTACTACTTTTGTATGCCGGCTTTTTAGGCAGAGAGGCCAGACAACCTATTCCTGGAGCTAATAATATTGGTAGAGGACCTGAATGCATGGAATCTGTTTCCGTGGGGTTCGTATATATGGAAAGCTACTTGGACTAAGTTGTCTACTGCCTTTGATGACCGCAAAAGTTTGCGTGGCGATGGGTCGAAATACACTTTGTCAGGCTTTGTTTGGGCCTTTAAGGTAAGAATTTCTATATAATGTTTCTAAAATTATAATTAATTATTTAACAATTACTAATTTTGTTATTATATTGTTTGTAGATTTGGATATTCGAGGCTTTCCCCAGCATGCGTACATATGCAATAAAAACGTCAAATGATATTCCAGGGCTATTTCCTGGAAGAGGAAAAATCTATTGGATTGGGAAGACTTAATACCATATGCGACAATAAATAATGTAAGTTAACACAAATACTTTCATATAATATAAACAAGTTATTAATAGTAGACGTTTAACTTTGTTTGAGTTTTATATTGTTAGGAGGCCAACATTCCATTACAAGACTGACACCCACGGAGGAAGAGCTTGCCACTGATTGGTGGCAAGCTAGTCAGAGTTTTTTGATGGCACGGATGATGAGCAGCATCCACTTCCTCCAATTCGAGAGCCATCACCTCACCTAGAGCCATCACCCGATCGACCCGACTATACACCTCTAGAACGAGAGCCATCACCTATCCCGTCACATCATCGAGCCTCTTCTCCACCATCACCTCATGATAGGCGACCGGCAAAGATGCCACGACTCCTATCTCCCTGTTCTCCACCTCCACCTCCACGGGATGAGTCAAGGGAGTTACGTGATGAGGTCAATGCCTTGCGTGAGGAGATCGGTACTCTACGCGATAACGATGGTGCATGGCGTGTGGAGGTGTCAACTTTACGTGGTGAGGTTGCCTCTACGTGAGATGATAGTATCGTTGCAGAATGAGGTTCATACTCTACGCAACGAGGTAAGTTTAAGATTTTCCATATTTAACTTGATGATAAATTTACTCGTAATTTCACTTAGATTAGCCATTTCACTTAGATTGCTTAGTAAATTTATTCGGTTGCTGCCAATTCTGCTAAACTGTGTATTCTTTAACACTGTGAAATAGTATTTGTCTTTGTTTTGTCTTTTGGTTGAAATTAAATTTGTTCGGTTTGCTGCCAATTCTGCTAAACTAATACCCTGAAGTCAGTATTTGTCTTTGTTTTGTCTATTGGTTGAAGTAATGCAATCCATTCAAGTTTCAATTTACAGAAGAAGAAATAGTTTACTTTCGCAACACGAAACTTAAAATCGCAACGCGAAACCAAAATCGCAACGCGAAATGAAAATCGCAACGACAGAATCGCAACGCGAAACCAAAATCGCAACGACAAAATCGCAACGCGAAACCAAAATCGCATTGCGATTTTCATTTCGCGTTGCGATTCTCTCGTTGCGATTTTCATTTCGCATTGCGATTCTGTCGTTGCGATTTTCATTTCGCGTTGCGATTTTGGTTTCGCGTTGCGATTTTGGTTTCTCGTTGCGATTCTCATTTCGCGTTGCGATTTTAAGTTTCGTGTTGCGAAAGTAAACTATTTCTTCTTCTGCAAATTGAAACTTGAATGGATTGCATTACTTCAACCAATAGACAAAACAAAGACAAATACTAACTTCAGGGTATTAGTTTGAAACATATTTTTCTTTGTTATCTGATGCATTTTGTGAACTATGATAATAATGACTTGGGTGAATACAATGCAAGTTTGAAACATATTTGTCTTTGTTTTCACTGTTTAAATATCATGTCTGTTTATTTTGATTTTTGTATTTAATTATTTAGCGGCCCGATAAAGTGGATGCTTTACGTCGGGTTATGCTTGCACGACGGAGTTCACGCATCAGACAGCGTGCACGTGCTATTAAGTCTCCGTACACCCCAATAGTGCGAAGACACCGCAAGAAGAAGCCCGACTCGCCTGTCATCCCTCAAGAGTCCACTCCTATCGTTGAAGAGGGCCCCCTATCATTCCTCGAGAGTTCCCTCCCACCGTTCAAGAGGCCACTATCATCATTGAAGAGGTCCCTCCCACCATTCAAGAGCCCGATTCACATGGCGTCATATGTAGGCTTCTTGAGAAACCCTCTGACGTGCCGGACATAATGGATGAGAGTTGGCTCTCGTATAAGTTACCGGCCAGTACCATTATGGTATCGGAAGTGGAGAGGAGACAACTACCAGACACAATTCTGGATAACACCCTTTGGGCTAAGACCGCAGTTGATTTTTATCTACATGAGCGGAGCCAGGGTGTTTCACTGACATATGCAAGCTCACCGATGATATCTATTTGTTGCTTGATCGGTCTTGGTGGGGCGTATTATTAGGGGTCGAAGACAATGGCTATTTCGATGGGGGGTAAGTCTTATATTTTTCTTATATTTCAATTTGATTAATTTTTTTTAAATTTATGTAAGTCACTAATATATGTCTTTTTTTGTAAAACAGCATATCGATGCGTGGGTGTCACGTCTTCTAATAATTAGGAAACTTAAGGAAAATAAAAGAAATACATGATATACAATTATGCCGACGTCTTTTAACGCCGTTCACTTGAAGAATCAACGAGATGAATCATTTGCGTTGGGCAATGGACAAGCTAAACTTTATCCTGCATGGTGGGAGGTCGATAAGGTTAGTGTTTATTTTAGATTGAGTTTAAAGGTATTCATAAATAAGTGCGCAAATGAATGAATTATTACTTATGATTGCAGGTGTTTATCCCTATTTTGGAACGTAACCATTTATTTGGCTAATTCTTGGATGCGATAAATTATTGATCGTTCTGGAAGAAGCCAAAGAAGCTCAATATTACAGTTATTAGAGAGAGACGCGCCACAACAAACGGAGGAGCCAGAGGAGATTGTGGTCCTCTCGTATGCTTGGCGTTGGAGCGTTTGACGACGGGAAGCATCAGTATCTACCTCCCACCGATAGAGATAGAGCTGCAGTAGGCTTGTGGTTTCGGCATTATATGGCTAATCGATATATACGAGACGTTGCCTACCTGCATCCGCGTTATA